CTGTTGGCTTTTACTTTCGACGTAGATAATTTATCGTAATATTCTTGAGCTTCACTAAATTCTCTTTTGTATTCTTTTGAGTACAGCCCTTTTTCTGTAGAAGTTCCAAAAAAGAGTCATCTGTATTTCGTAAAGTTTTATACTTCTCTGAAATTTGATCTAAATAAATTTCTAAATCGTCCAAATCCGGAGAATCTGATCGTATCAGTTCATCCAACTTATTAGCTGTTTTTGTAAATGCACTCCTAATTGCTTTCCGCTTCTGTTTTAGTATTTCCGAGTCCTCCATGTTTGCACCTAGAAACTTCTCTTATTTTCGTAAATTATCAAGTGTCGAAATCGATAATGTCACCCTGTGACATCAATCCTGGCTGGCTCGCCAAATTTGTTGCTTAATAAGTAAATCATAGGTTCGAAAATCTGAGCCGATACTTTTTAAAAACACCAACATTTATATTCATGCCATTTCTAATTCTACAAAATATTAAATGAAACTAACTATCAAACAGAAAAGCAGACATAGACATAATGATGCATCTGGGCACGTGATCCTCGTGACAGACGAATTCTTTAGGGTTGCCACAGAAAGGCAGTGTGTCGCCACAAGCCTGAAAAAACTCATTTAATAACGCATGATATTCAATTGTCAGAAAACACCTCAATCCACTGTAAACCATACAGAATGTCTCCTAGACAAACGGATATATTAAAAACGGAAATTGATGAAATGCTTCAACATAAAATAATTTAAATAGGTGATTCAGATTACACTTCTCCTATGATTTTAGTGGAAGTAGCAGGGAGGGATCCAAGACCTTGTATCGACTATAGAAAATTGAATAAGTTGACAAAAACACAATTCTTTTCCTTGCCTAACATCAAACAACGAGTAGAACTGGTAGCAGGCGCAAAATATATAACTCATTTTACAAAGGATTTAACAAAGGGATACTGCCAAATACCTTTAACACCTAATGCTCAAAGATTAGCCACTTTTGTTACAAGTTTTGGCACATTTAGACCTCTGCGGATGCCTTTCAGACTTAAAAATGCACTATTTTAATTTAGTAAAATGATGGCCAAATCCTTCACGGTTATGAAAACTTTGCTGTTGTTCCATATTTAGATGACGTGGCAATCTTTTCAAACACATGGAAAGAACATCTAAGTCACCTGAAAGCTGTTTTGACCAAAATAAAGGACGCTGGTTTAACTATTAAACCAATAAAATGTAAATTTTCTCAAGATAGAGTAAAATATCTAGGGCATATTGTAGGTCGTGGTATAAGAATGCCAAGTGAAGTGAAAGTAAAAGCTATTCTTGATTTTCCAGTGCCATCCACAAAAAGCCAAGTACAGAGGCATTTTTAGGATTAGCGGGATATTTATAATCATTACAGTTTCCCATGTTCTCATCCTATAGCAGCACCTTTAACAGAAACTTTGAAAGGAAAATTTAAAGGGAAAAGGAAACTAAATTGGACAGAAGAGTGCACAAAAGCATTTGAAGAGCTTAAAGGAGAAAAACTGTCTCAAAGGCCTGTACTACATGCACCTGATTTCAATAACGAGTTTATTTTGCAAAACTGATGCTTCAAACTCTGATATGGGTGTCATTTTAGCTCAAAAAGATGAACGAGACAATGAACATCCCAGTATTATACCTCAGTAAGAAGTTTACAGAAACTGAAAAAAAAAAAGTACTCTACCACAGAAAAGGAATGCATCGCCATATAATATTTGCTGTAAAGAAACTTCAATGTTATTTAGACTGGGCATACTAAAATTCCTCATCATGACCGATCATAACCCCTTAGTTTGGCTCAAAAATAATGTGAGTCTAAATCCACGACTTATGAGATGGGCACTAGTACTACAACCCTACAATTACGCTGTCGTTGATCGAAGTGGTAAAAACCATAAAAATGTAGACGCATTAAGTCGTACTTCCCTGGCCTGATTAAATAATTTGTTTCTGTATATAGATAAAAAAAAAAAAAATTTGTTCCTTCCTCTCTTCCTTAGTGTATGTTATTATGTTATTTCTTGTTTAATTCTTTAAATTCTTGTATTTCAATACTGTATTGTGCTGATATTGTTGTTTAGTAAAAAAAAAAAAAGTAAACTTTAATTTATAAAAATATAAATTAAAGTTTATCTGGAGGGGGGAGAGGTTGTAATTGTTGAAGTGGCAACACCATATTTATATTATGTAACCATTGCTCAGCAATGTGAAAAATTGTTTTAAAAATTAAGATTCTGAAGTTTTTACCAGCTAGTAGTAGTACGAATGTTTTGCCAGTAAAGAATTTCTTCAAATTATCTATCTCCGTGAACTAGAAATGAAATTTATGTTCTATTAAGAAGATTGCCTGCTTTGTTAATTACTGCAAAATACATTACAAGGGATTTGACCGAGATGAGCTGAATGATTTGGCACGAGATTTGAGACTATCCAAAAAAGCTTCAGAGCTATTAGCATCAAGACAGCGTGAGAAAAGCTTGCTTGAAAAGGGAGCTGAGATATCCCATTTTCGATCAAAGGAAAGTATGCTTTTCTGCAATAGTGTCAAAGTGATGGATTTGGCATATGTGATGTATTGGAATAGATGGGAATTTCAGCCTATAATGCAACTCATTGGTGATTGTCATCAGTAGTTCAATGCAGAGCTTGAAGTGTATCCTCCTGTACAATGGAAATTTATTTAATGCAGTCCCAATAGGCCATTCAGTTTGTTTGTGTGAAGAATATGAAGATATAAAGAAAAGTAATTGATTTGTTGCAATGTCACATGCACCAATGGGTCATCCGGGTTCACCTTAAAATGGTTGCTTCCTCCTTGGTCAGTAACATGAATATACCAAATACCAAATACCAGAGCATGTGGGTCCAGTCAAATTGACCTCCAAGATGTCACCTAAAACATGGGGATCCATCCGCCACTTGTCGAGAGAAAGAAAATTATATTTCTTCCTCTGCATATAAAACTGGGTCTCATGAAGCAGTTTTTTAAAGCTTTGCCAATTGAAGGAAACTGTTTCAAGTATCTCATTTCAGTATTTTGTAGCCTGTCATTTGAAAAGATAAAGGGTGATGTGTTTCATAGTCCACAGATTCAACAGTTCCTTAAAGATGAACATATCATTAGAACAATGACAAAATTTCAAAAGAATGTTTGTCAGCATTGAAAAATGTTGTTAAAGACTTTTTCTATATATCCTGGCAACTTTTGGAGAGCTTCAAAATGCTTGGCTGCAACAAGTGCATCAAACTGCATTTTTTAGGTAGCAATCCTGCTAACTTCCCAAAATCTTAATGTGGTTAGTGATGAGTAGTGTAAGCGATTCCACCAAGATTTGAAGGTTATGGATCCTCAGTACCTAGTTAGATTGAATGTACTCAGTACCTAGTTAGATGGAATGTACATATCATGACTGGCTGTTTTTGGAGCATGAAGCGAGAATCTCCACAGATTTTTACCTTAATATTTATGTTTATGGTTTGGTTAAAAAAAGTTTGTTTATTATTGTTATAGGCAAAAACTAAGGTTATTTTTGGATTCAGAGGCTAAAAGTTAGTTAAAAACAAGTGACCTATTCCCCAGTGTAATTATTATGACATTACTAATTATTATGATAAGAATGTAAGGAAAATGTTTAAGATTTTAATGGAGCCCACTTTTGCACTATTCTTATTATCATTAAAAATGAATGGGAGTAATGCCCCAGAAAATATGCAAATGGAGCTAATTAATTTACACTGTGATGTAAAGCTAATTCAAAGATTTGAAGATAAAGATTTGATTATCTTTTCTTCAGACTTGGCAAAAGATAAATACTCTCAGTTATGAATTTTTGCAATAAGAATAATCACTTTGTAAGAGACGATATTTATATGTTAATTTTTTCCCTGCAGTAAAAAAATTAACAAGTTTAATAAAAGAACCGGATTCATTGATGAGCATCTGCAATTCATGATGAGGAGAGTTTCTAGTAATTTTTCTCTGAGGTTAAAAACTTTATCAAAACTATGAGGTGTTGTAATAATTAATAAACAGGTTTATAATTATTTACATACATGTATATGTATTTTTTCTATATGCATAAAATAAAATTTAGTAAATAAAATATACATGTATATGTATTTTTTTCCCATATGAAATAAAGAAAAATGTAGTAAATAAAAAATGAGAATAGATACCGAGGTAACCTCAGGCCATGAGAACTGGGTGCATGGGCTAAAGCTCTTTCCCAAATTAGTAAAGTATGAACATAACATTAAATAGCATAGTAAAAAGAAATAATGTCCTAAAAAATAGGTTAAGTGTGGCACGACATAAAAGTATTCATTTCTTAAGGAAGATTTACCTCCTAAGGAATTCACTTAGCAAAATGCAGGTTTTTCAGAGACATACAGGAGATGTAAAAATAATGTTTGCTTTTAATTTGGTGATTTTTTTTTAACAGATGAAAAGGCAGAAATTACTTATTGGGTACAAGTGGGTGGATTTGTTTTTTAAATTTTTAATATTTATCATAAGTATTATAAGTTGTATGTAACTTATATATAAATACCAAGTTCAATAAACTTATAAATAGCGTACAGAATGAACACTTTCCTAAAAAATTGTTTCCAGCTCCCAGCAAGTGTTTAATAAGATGAAATAGTGAGTTTGTATTACTAAACATTTATTGAATACTTTAAAGTTAGTTGATGTTTAACTAATTTATAATTTTTAAAATATTTAAAATGGTTAATAATTATTTGCTTAGTTTACATTACAATTTCTTGATGACCATAAGTTGAAATTAATACTTGGAGCACAGTGAAAGTAAAATGGAAGAAAAATCAAAATCTCATAATCTTCTTGCTAATTTTGAAAGAATTTAATGTTATTTATTACTTGTATTTATTTAAATTCCATTTTTTATTTTATGTTGTTTTTAATTTAATTTGGATAATTCTCACTGTTTTTAATAATATATATTATTTTTTCAAGCAGGAGGAACTTAGGGAAAACGAGACTACAGATTCAACCAGTGATAAGGTAAATGAATTAATTTTTTATGAGCTTTACTAGATATTTTTATTATAAATAATAAAACTATACTTAATAAAATATAATAACTGCATGATATTCTATGAATATCTTTGAGGACAAATCCAGCATTTTGTTATATTTTTTGTGATAAGAATAAAATTAATTAGCTTTTTATAGGACTTGTGCATTCAATCTATTATGAACCCATATGCATGGAATAATATGTACTTTGTTATACAACACAAAGTCCATAATCTGGACGTCCATTATCCGGAATTATCTATAATCCGAGCCTCAAAGGCACAAACTTTTTTTTTTTGTATGCTTTACGCATGCACGTTTGGAGCATGTGTCTCCAGATACGTTAAAAAATGCTTAATATAATTTATGGCCAACTACCATATTTCATGGTAAGGACTATGAAGATGATAGTGACGAATTTGTAGCTTTTCGGACATCACAAACTAAAGGTGAAGTTTTCCAGTTATTGGATTTTGTAAAGAAATGTGGAATAGCGGTAATAAATGAAGGAGATATAACAGCTTTTCACTGCGACAACAATGCCGCAATCATCAATCAATTAATGGACGGCGAAATCTGTAGTATGGTTCTAGATTCAGAAAGTACCGCTTCTTATAGTGAAGAAAGTGACAGAGAGGTTATTGAAAATGAAAAAATTTTGATTGACAAGTTAGTCGGTATTCTCGACACAGCAATTACAGGACTTGAACAGTGGAACTTTGTAACTGAACAAGAAATTACGTCTGTTTATAGAATTAAAGAGAAATTATCAGCACAAAAAAGGAAGCAACTTTAAAAAACTTACATTGAAAGAAATGTTTAATAAAGTAAACATATAAATATTAAGTTTTTTTTTTTTTTTTTTTTTTTTTTTTTGTAAATTTGATACCCTTTAGATCATAATTGCTCTTTATTTCATAAATTACGGTTTCATATTTTTAATTGTATAATTTCTGCATGCCATCTTACCAGATTTAAATTGATGATCTATGATGCGGAATCGCCGAAGTCCCGACGAGTCCGGATTACGGACTTTGTACTGTATTACTAAATTCAATATTTTTGTACAAAATTTAACTAGTTTTATTTCTATGCTAGCAATGATCTTAACACATGTAATGAAACTGTGGACTTAAATGTAATGATGTAGAAATATTGATGGTGTAGAAGTTCAGAATGTTGGTCCATAATGAATATTAAACATTATGAATATTAAGTCATATAGCTGTTTTATAAATATTAAGTCATATAGCTGTTTTATGAATATTAAGTCAATCAATTGAATATTAAGTAATATAGATACTATGTGACCAATCGTAGCAGATTTAAATCATGCTTCATTTATTGTAATGAAACTTTTGGCAGTCACAAATACTTAGCACATTAATTGTGCCTGTTCCAGAACAGTTATATTTTTAATATTATTTTGCAGAAGAACAGGAAGCAGCCAGCAGCAGTCAGGCCAGACTGCAGGAAGCAAGTGCCTTGTGTTAAGGATAAAAATTTAATTCAGGATTTATTAGTTTCAGTTTCAATGCATTTTATTGGCTAATAAATAATGTTGTAAAATTATTATCGGCTATTTGAGTTCCATTTGTGTCACCGTTTGTATGCGAGAGTTATGCAAGAGTCACTCTGCAAGGCAGCTAGGATGAGCTATTGCTTTTGGAGGTAATTGGGCTCAGCTTTTATGAGTAATTGGGCTAATCACTTTGATGAGGTTCCTAAGTGGACACATGAAATGCCTTTAATTTTGACCATGGAAATAAGATCTATCCCATCTGTAAGAAATGTAATACTGATCATTTCGTTCCTGAACATCTTCTCATCTGTTTGGGACTTTTAAAAGAGGACCTATTAAAAAAACCTACTTTCATTCTGGACTTACTGATGATTCTTGGACTCATGGATCTGGTCTAGCCTAATGGCTAACCAATTAGGATAGGTAACACCAACAGAATCATTTGATATAGATTAGCTTCGAAATGATATAGTTCAGAAAAAGTTATTACTATTTTGAGAATAGCAAGGAGAAATATCCAAAATAAAATTAAGCATTAAAGAGCTACTGTTAATTTAAATCGTAATTTGCATTTAAATATTTTTTATTTGACCAATATTTATACTTCTGTACAGATTTGCTTTCACATTTAGATAGATTCTGAAATTGAATTCCATTTCATTTCACTAATAGAAAACTCCAAATAATGTAATTATTTACCAAGAATAGACATCGGAATCGAATTAAAAAAAAAAAATACAAATCTGAATCTGCTCTTTACAAATGTAGACATGCCCTGTCTACATTTATAAAGAGCAAGAGGATAAGAGGAAATTATTCGGTATATGTTATGTATGTTTTCCTGCCTTACTCTATTATTTTATTACTTTGTATTTGTAACAAAGGCCTAGTGGGTCAAATTAAGGTTGATGAGGGTAATCAAATTTTCAGTCAAATGTGGTTAATCAATGCCTATGCTATCAGCCTTATGGCTGCATACATTGAGCAGATAACTGATCAGTTGTTTCGGCAATTTCTACACAGGATTTAAGATTGTCTCCTTGCAGTGTTCTTTATTGAATGGGATGGGAGTTCAAAATATAGATAGATATGCATATCTTTCATTTGTTGCACAATAATAAGTAAGAATAATTTTTGTAACATCTTTAGTTTTTTCACTGTATTTTGTGATAAACATATTTTTCGTTCATTCTTAATTTTTTAGCTAATTCATCATAGTTAGTCACAGAACTGTTCTGTTTGATCATGGAAAATAAGCAAATTAAAAACTTAATATTGGTGATTTTCAGTGGAAATTTTGTATGCAGAAGAAAAGTTAAATAAATTTATTCATTGTAAATAAATGTAAAACTGTGTTAAGATTCATAAAAGGTGCTTTCTTGTAAAATTTAATTTTGTTTATGTTAATTTTTTTTTTTTTTTTTTTTTTTTTTTTTTTTTTTTTTCAGTAGCCTATTTAAAAAAAAATCAAATATGTGTTCTAAAGCTAAGTGCAAATATAATATTTATATTCAGGCTCATATGTTACATTTGATAAATTCTGAATATAGAATTTAGATTGTTTTGTAAATTTTGGTCTTATTTTCTTTTCTTCTATACAGTTTATTTTGACTTAATTTTGCTCTGCACTGTTATCTAAATAAAATCAATACAAAAATAATAAAGTATATATGAAAAATTTTTTCAAGGGCTTCAGTAAAGGGTGATAAAAAGTAAAAAGGCTCTAGTGTAGAATTGAGTGCCCCTTCGATTGGTGACAATTGTTTTAAAATTTTTGGCGATAAAACCTCACTTCTGATTACCATGATAGTTTTAACTTTGCTTTAGCTTCCGGATTTTATTTAAATGAAAATAGATTCATGTGTACATGGACTTATTTAAGGCAGTGCGCGATGCCTAGTTTGTGCATTTCTAGGATGTTTTTTTAAGTAAAAACAGATCAATGTGTACATGGACACAGATGTTGTGCAATTCTTTTATTTTTTATTTTGGTTTTGTGCAGCAGCCATCTTGAAATTGTGCCTACCTGGCGCCGATCTTGGCGTCAAAAAAGAATCGCCAATAAACAAGGGGCACCCAATTGTAAACTTTTACCAGTAAAAAATATTTTTTGTTTAGTCAATGCAGCTATTATGGTGTGTGACTAAAGCCATTAGACAGCTAATGGTAATATTTTTTTAATCAAAATTATCAATGAGAAATCTAAATATGTTAAAATTTATATGTTTAATTTTCATGTTATTACATCTGCTGCTCCTTTAAATCCCATTTATGTCCTAATATGGTTCTTATATGGACATCCTACGGTTCTGTTTTTGGTACTGTTCCGTTATCAGGACCAGGTTCAGAAGTTATTCATGTATGCATGTGTATATTTGTAAGTATGAATATATGTGTATGTATACATATGCACATATATGCATATACAGGCAAACACACATTCATATGTTCATATATTTCTGAATTCGGTTTGAATAACGGAACAGTACCCTACTTTTAGTCACATGTGACCAAGGTTACAAATGCTTCTAGGATGTTTCTGTGAGGATATTTGATAAAAAATTTAATTTCTTTCAACAGAAATTATGATGAAGTCCTTATGCAGTATTATGTAAAAAAATGCAGACTGTTTCAACAGATACAAATAAAGAAATTCTCTGGTTAGAAGTTCAGCATCAGAAATCAACAAAAGTAATTTTAACATTAAATAAAAATAATACAAATTAAATTTTGCAAAAATTCACTGAAAATCACATAGAGGCTTCCTATGAACAAACTACGTGCCAAATTTCATATCTGTAGGCCTCACCATCTCAGCATCATATGATACACATGCAGACACTCTTTTCTTATCATAAATTATCATGGTATACAAAATGTGTAGTTTGGGATTGATACTCTTAAACTCAATATCACTGAGAAATTTCATATTATTGTTCAATACTAAACATATCTTTCAATGAGCATTTAAATTTACATTATATTTCAGCTTGTTCAAGAGAAAAATCGTCGACCTCCTTCTAGTCGCAGTGCACGTCCACCATCAGCCAGAAATAAAAGAACCAAGCCCAGTAAGTTTCATCTTTTGAAATTTTTTTTTTAAATGCAATTTTTAAAATAATCAGAACATTTAATTTAATGATGTTTGTTTTTCAGTTGAAAACAGTAGCAGTGCAATTGGAGGTATGTATTTCACTTATCTTCTGTTAAAGGTAACCTCACATTTTTAGTGTTAGACCATTTATGCATTTTTTATGTTAGGCCATTTATACAGCTACTAGGAGTGATTTTGATGTTTAGATATTGAATGCTTAATATGTCTCTTTTAACACATTTACAAAGTAATACAGCTGTTATAAATATACATATTCTTTATTACTGTTTGGGAAAAAAGTGGTTTCACCTATTAAAAAATCTTATGTGGACACCACATGACTTCCTTGTATGGCCTATTAAATTATACACGTTTTTTGCTGTTTCCCTTAAACTTATTTCCTCGAATTTCATTACAGATATATTTCTCATTTAATTAATATTCAATTTATTCAGTTCTCTCTTCGAGGCAAAGCAAAAATACATAAAAACATAAAACACGAAATACAGTTAAAAACAGCTTTAAAAAAGTTTTTTTTTAACGTTAAAAATTAGTGCTTCTATGCAAAAACAAGCAGTTCAACCAGTGGGCAAGAAGGCAGATTTTTCGGTGCACAAAACTGAAAGTTTATTTTCGGTCCCATCTGACAAAAAGGCATTGAAGGTGCAAAAACTGACTATTTTACTGAGTTTCAAATGTAAACAAATGGCGGCTCATTGGGCTTAACTCGCCACTTTAACTTTTAAATTGTTGATAATTCTACAACTATTGCATGCAGATTAATTAAAGTTGTAATACCCTAATGGAACATAAAAACCACATAATTCAATCGCTTTTAAAGTAAATAATGCACAGTATTCCAATATATAAGAATTAAAAAATTAAGCTCACCAAGGTAGGTAGCAAAGTATGAATATATATATATTTATATACGATTGGTGCAGCCAATTGCAACAAAAAAGAAAATGCACAGCTACATGTTATAATCAAATTTCAACATTCTATAGCTACTCATTTCTGAGTTATGAGAGAGACATACATATGTATAGACATAAAAAAAAAAAAAAAAATCTCTTCTGAATCCATTTTAAATCTGTTTTACAGTCTTTTTTTGGGAAAAACAGTCCTTTATTCTGTCCGTACATACAGATGTCACCCAAAAACATCTTTTAAATGGGTTTGAGAGTAGTTGAAATATGATACCCAAAATTGTTGCGATTACAGTACTTCCTTTAATTTATACTTTATATAATTTTTTATAATTCCTTTAATTTTTACTTTCCTTTAATTATAATTTCCTTATATATTAGCAAAAAGTAAATATGTAAGGTTAACTTTGGAGATATGGATTTAAAAGTAAAATTATTGAATTTTGCCAAATCTGAAAGCATTTTTTTGCTCTGTAGGGAGTCAGTACAGTTGGTGCCTCGTCTAAATTTAAAAATAATTCAGAGTGAAATTTGCCTTATTTAGTTGTTGCCTGTAAGAATAACTTTATTGGCATTCTCTAGAAAGCAATGCTTGAGGTGTCTGCTTATGTTGCTTATGCTGGAAGGTGGTCCTGATTAAATCTTGTGTTCTGATATAAAGTTTGTGCTTTTTAATGCAGGATTTCTAATCTAGCTTTGACTGACAAAATTACACATTCTCCAAGAATTCAGATCTAGTGCATATGGTCATTAACCTGTTCAGGACCAACCTTACGTAGTCGCAATGCAATGATTCCACTTTTACCAGCCCAGTGTCGTATATACGCAAAGAGCTCCGATCAATCTCTTCAGCCCAGTGTCACGTATACATAACTTGAAAATGGAATAATTTTTTTGAATTTTTAAATGCCATTAGATGATGCTAAATGGTAACAGTTTTCACATCAATTAAGTCATGTGGCTTTTGACCTTAATATATGAGCATAAGTTTCTCTTCTGTGCTTCTGGTTTTGATAGATTTTTTGGTGTAAATACGCTGGGAATCACAGCTCTTTAAATTAAAGGGACACCGATGTGTTTGTTTATTTCATTAGTTTTTTTTTTTTCTTTGTTTTTATTCTTTGCGTTTTTCATTATTATAATGTGGGGAAGTGCATTGAGCTCAATGTTTACAGATTTTGTTTAATTAGGAGAATGTAGGAAAATGTATCTAGATGACTAGAGCAGGTGTAAAATCGCCAAACATCCGTGACCAGTTGTCCTTTTTAGCTTAAAGGAGCAATTTGTCCTGAAGGACTATTAATTTCATTTTGGCATTTTGCGTTGGTTCACTTTTCAAATTGTTGCCACCAAATATGGCTTGTGTTATATTTAAAGAAATTAAATAATGAAGAATCTGCATAAATATATGTATGTTTCTCGCATTGGGATTAAACATCGATACCTAGAGCCATCAAATTTTGAATAACAAAATATTCCACTGAATATGGGCATCTAGAAGCCTAAATTTGGAATTTGAAATTTGTTTTATTATAAATTTATATTTTGTAACACTTTAACAAGTTTTTTATTAGCAAACTCAACGATTTCAAAGAGAGCAATAATAACACTTTACATAAAAAAAAAGCATTTTAATCTTTAGCGTGCCAGACTGTGTGTTGACAATTCTAAAGCTTTATTGATTTAAAAATTATTTTGTGGTATTGCTGTTGAACTGAATTTTATGGTTTAAGTGCAAAGAACGTGATATTTAATAAATAAAGGTAACACACAAAACATTAAAAAAATGCTCCTTTGGGCGTAATGTAAAATCTGAACGCGTTCAGATTTTATATATATTTTTTAAACTTAACATAGACTTTCTTGGTTAATTAAAAAGTAACTTTACACAGGGTTCGTAGCGGTCTTTATAAGTGCTTATAAGTCCTTATATTTGAAAATAAAATATAAAGGTCCTTATAGGTGCTTACTTTTTCCTTAAAGCCCTTATTTTTTTGTTTTTAGTGCTTTTTTTTGCTTTTAGTGCTTTTTTTTTTTTTAATGAACACGCTATTTTTCCCCGTACCAAAGCCGAAACTAAATAAACAACTTTTCTTCCTTAATATGAAATGTCAGATGGTGAATCATACTCCCGGCCGGAAATAGCTTTTCCCCCTTTTTCTGCCTTAACATAACCTTTGGTGCGGGCGAAGAGTACAGACATGTGGTGCCCGTCGTTCTATTGGTCAAAGAATTGCGAAAGCGGTAGAAATTTCCGATACATTCGGTATTCTTTTCCTCCCACCCCAAAATACTACACACGTTTGAATTTCTATCAAGATCTTTAATAATTTAAATTCTCGTTCCGCGTGGTTAGTTCATATTCGTGTTTATTATGATCATTATGCTTATATTATGAGCCTATGTATGAATATTTATAATAAATATAGTTGCAGTAACTGCTGAAGTATAGTAAACTTCCTAAACTTCCAAAAATGGTTGTGTTTTTACACAGATTGCTTCTAGGAATAATATTCTGGAATGGCTTTAAATAAAGGGAAAGTAATCAAATAGTCAAAAATAATTCAATTTTTTTGGCCAATACATCATACAGTACGAAGATTGGGAGGTTCTCCCCTTTCTCCGCAAAATCTCGAATATTGAAAACTACTAGTTCGCTGCAAAACAAGCAACAAACCTTTCCTTTTTTTTTTTTTTTTTTTTTTGTCATTTCCAATCTGGATTTTGAATAGGACTAAAAGTTCTGCGATCTACCAACCCAAGCGAAGAATGATTCTATTCCGGAAATTTAACGCTGCCTGTTGAAAATTAGAATGAAAAACACCCCAGTTATTTATTCTCTCAATACCGGCAGCTGTTGATTCCGATTGCGTAATGTCACGTAGGGAAGATTTGTGGCACACATATTGCGCAATAACGTTCGCAATATTTTGCAGAGATAATGAATTTTTTATGTTCTGTCCGAGATTTGTTTATGAACACTTATAAGAGTTTTACTGTGCTTGCTAAGCAGAATATTTTTCAGTTCCATTAATTTATTTTTATATGATGCACATATCGAAATGTAAAAAGCATTTATTTAGCGGAAAAATCAAAGGAGCGGCAACTGTCTATCCCCCCCCTCCGCTCCTCTTTTTCAAGTTACGATCGACTGTCCGAATATTCGCCAATTTCCAAGTATGCGTGTTAGTTAAGCTTTTACTGTTAAAGGATGACTGCATGAAGCAAATTTCTGTCTTTTGATTTCAGAAATGTTCCTCTTTTTTACTTAAATTACTTTGCTTGCAATATCTGTTAAGGGAAAACTGATAAACAATGAAAATTTAGAAAAATGTTCAGAATTTAGATTTAAATTATTTAAATATCAATATGAGTAGAAAAATAAATTGTATTTATTATTAAGTTCCAAGCAAATACAATAAATATGCCTTATTATTATTTATTTTCTTTATTTTGAACTGAAATATCATCATTAAATCTTGTGATATAGTTTAGTTCTGCATAGTTTTTTTTTTCTCTCATTGTAAACTAGTTCTGTAAATTGAACTTTTATTTAAAATTTAAAAAAAAAAAAAGTAATTATTTTCCATGGTTGAGGTAATGCTTATTCTCTCGTAATAAATACTGCATTTCTCATATTTTAAATTACAAGTCTAATTTTTAAGGTTATGCAGTTGTGTATAATGTAATTATACAGGTGCTTATTTTTTTCTTAAAATGTGCTTGAAAAGTGCTTATAGGTGCTTATTTTTTTAACTAAAATGTGGCTATGAACCCTGTTTACAGCATTATTACAGAAGGGGGAAGACATCTGCTTTCCTGATGCATCTTACTTGCTCAGCATATGTTTGGCGAAAAAAGCCTTCATTGTACTGTGTGTTGATCCTTGTTTTATATTATTCCACAAACAGCAGAATTATTAAATTGGGATTTAATTACCTACAGATAATTATTGCTTAATTTTTTTTACATCTCGTATTTGTAATTTTGTTTTTATGCCTATAGTTATAATTTTAGTATTTTGCATGTTTCATTTATTTCTATTAATGTGATTTTTTTTATATTAATGCATATTAAGAATTAGTATATTAAGCACATAACTTCAGAAATTGAAGTCATTGTATTAAAATGCTGATTTTATATGAATTTGTTTGTAAACGTAGGCTTAACTGTTGAAAATGCATGGGCTGGTAGCAACGTTCCATTTCAGGGGGTTTGGTCCCGTGGCTGCACTTTGTTCTCTGTGTACTGGTCCTCAAGGGGTTAAGGATTAAATTATGAATCCTAATCAGAGAATTGGATTATTTAATTACAGCAAAGCACATGATAGCTATCTGTCTGCAGGCCTTAATAGATGGGCTAGTAGTAAGAGTCCTGTATATTTACATTGCTGATGAGGAAAAACCATAAATGTCTAAGTAATTTACCATTTGACAACAAGGAACAGAAAGTAAAGCACACTTCCAATTGCAACTTCAATCTTTCAGCTTCTTATTTTCTTATATTATTGCAGAAAAGAAAATAATTTGAAAAGTAGAGCCACCTCATCTGGTATGAGGTTTAACAGAGTTCAGTATCATCTGATTAAACCCAGGTTCAAATCACAGATAAGGTGTGAATTGTTGTAGTTGTCTGTCACATTTCTCACGAATGTAATATGGATCGCCTTCTGCGATCAACTCTGTGGAATGGTTTTGATGAGGAGACAGTTAAATGACTGATGGGTTTGGCTGTTCTAGATGATTGCTTAATGAGCAAATGGCTGTCAATTAAATAAAAACAATAATTTAAAAAAGAACTTTGAGAATGAGTTTATGAATGATACAGACAATTGTATAAGAAACAGAAAGGGGCAAATGAAAGGAAGAATGCTATTTATGTGTAATGCTAAGCAACTCTTAAACCTTATCAATAACAAAGAAACCTCTCTCTTTAGCAGTCGTTCTCAAATCGTCAGGTTCCATTGGTAAGAGCATTGCTGGAGAAGAAATATTAAGGGCGCAAATGAATAAAAACCATACAGGAATTAAACTTTTCATATCTATTTCTTATAAAGTATAAATATTTCTTAAATATAAGCAAAGTACTGGAGGAATGCATAAAAAGTAAATCTTGTAAATTTTACAAAACTGACTTTTTAATTTAAAAACGCTAAAACATAAATATTTGCATCATTTATGTCTGTAACCACTGGCTGCAAAAGGACTTCAATCAACATGTTATTGTGTGATTTTTTTTTTCATATCATAAATAAATTTGATTGTAATTTTCTTTAGAAAAGAAAATTGGGAAGTTTAATGATTTAGAAAAGAAAATTGGGAAGTTTAATGATTTATTTAAATATTTATTTTAGTAATTTGGCTTAGATTTCACATATTATTAGTCCAAAGGGGCAATTTGTCCTGAAGGACTATTAATTTCGTTTTGACATTTTGCGTTGAAAACTTTAAAAGGCTGTATCACTTTTCAAATCATTGCCTCAAATGCTATCGCCCTGTATTATATTTGAAGAAATTCAATAATGAAGAATTTGTATAAATGTATGTATGTTTCTCACATTGTGATGAAACAACTGTACCTAGAGCCATCAAATTTTGAATGATGTAATCCTACTGTGAATATGGGCATCTGGAAGCCCAAATTGAAATTTGTTTTATTATCAATTTCATATTTTGTAAATCTTGAAAAAATTTTTGATTAACAAACTCTTTCAAAGCGACCGATGGCAACGTTGTACAGAAAAAACATTTTTATCTCCAGCGCGTGAGACTGTGTGTCAGAAATTCTAAAGATATGCTCAATTAAAAATTATTTTTTTGATATTACTCTTGAACTGGATTTTATGGTTTAAGTGCGAAGAACATGATATTTAATAAATAAACAAAGCACACAAAATGTTAATGCCCGTTGGAACGTAATTTAAAATCTGAAACCTTTCAGATTTTCTTTTTAGTTAGCATTATATTAACTATAAGCAAACTTATAGTACTTCCTTAAAAGTTTCTATATTGTTTTATTTAGGTAAGGACATACTTCCAGAGAGCATACAAAATATGTAAGACAATATTTTCTCTTTAAATTCTGTGTGAAGAAATATGAATTATACTGCACACAAAAATTTCTTCGGTTCATGCGTCATTTTTAAGTTGATGAAGAATTTAACTTAAATAGTATTGGGATATTTATTATTTTCATAGTGATTACAATTTATTTGTATGTAAAATATTTCTTCAGTCACTAGGATAATACTGTGATTTCTGTGAAAATTGTTCTCACTTAAAAATATGACATTTTGCCATTTCTGTCCTAGCTTCTAGGGAGCCATTAATGGCTACTTCCTCTGCCATAATGGGTAATGTGCCTTCAGTTCCTGAACCAGATTTTGAAAGCTTGCCTTTACAAAGGTATTTTTCATTTTATTTTAAATTCAGTGCACCTTACTATTAGAAAAGAATGTGGCTGGTTGGCCCTGGGTTTCCATTCATTTTAAAAGTCAGAGAAATGTAATTTTTTTGGTACTTCTTACGTATTTGCACCCACACCAAAAAGTCACAAACTCATGGGCATTTTTGGAAAGAAATGTTTGTTTGGATATCTTTGCATCTATTTCAACAATGCATCCAGTGCTGTTTATTTTCTAATTATTTTTATTTAATTAATTTATTAATTTTAATTTCTTCTACTACATCAGGTTTGCATAATTTTTTAAGCTAATTACATCATTCAATAGCTGTGTTTAGGGATAATCCCACTTCTTTATAGAATTTCATTGACGTGTATTCCTTTATTCAACATTAAATAAAACAAATAACTTTTGTAAATGAATTACAAGTGTCTTGAAACCAGTTTTGACTTGCATTTTAACACTTTCTTGCAGTTTTTCATGTTCCATAAAATCTGGTTATTTAAGGAGCACAACTGCAAAGAATTCAAATTCTCTGTTGTTGTGCAAAACGTCATATTTTGAAGAAATGCAATGGTGTTTGTTTTTTCCCCTTATTGGCGAACAAACTTCCCAGTTCCATTGAGATTTATTACAACAAAATGTACCAAATGCAAAAAGAAATACTAACTAGATAAATGGTAGTTGAATTTCAAAAGTGCGTTTCTTCAGTAATCTGGTTTCTTCAGCGACTTGATGTTTAAGTATATGCACAAAAATGCCTGTATTCAAATACAGATTTGCTACACGTATACCCAAGTTGTACATCAATACTTTTGGACATTGTATTGCCAATACTTTGGGACTTTGGGACATGAATACTTTTTGATGACATGGTGCATTCTCTTATCAGTACTTTTTAATGGGGATACAGATAATCAAAAAACACCTTTCCCCCTCAGATTAGAAGTTAGATTGTTAAATTAAAAATTAGAAAATTATCATTTGCCAAAAAAGACAGGTAAGTTTTAAAAAAAAGTTGTATAGACAGTACAATAATTATGTAGTATGTGGTCTACTGTATTTAGTTGGTTATTATATTTATTTTTTAGGTGATGGCACTAAAATTCGTTGTTTTCATCATTTCTTTTTCTCACCATTTTATCACATGCTCAAACTTTAAAATAGCATTCTAGGGTCACCATGTAATAAATAAATAAATAAAAGCAATAGATACCATATTACAGGATTGGCCAGACTTCATGTCAGTAAGAGCAGCACATTTAAATTCAGGAATGTTCGAGAGCCGCATCTACATTTTCTAAAAGCCACAAGTTCATTTTGTTGTGTTTTTTTCTTCTGACACCAGTTGTTACGTTATTGTCTTCCTTCACGTTCATATGGGGTTTGTGTGGATTGCAGTGAATAACCACATCGACACTCGATGAAGTATCAAAACACAGTTTATTGGTCAGTATTCTCAGGAGAGCTCTAAAACACGTTTACAGTCGTCGAAGATCTACTATAAATATTCTGGAACAATCAGCAGCAACTATCAGGCTATCACGGTGAAGCACCGGAGGCTCTCGACTCTGCTCGGTTGTTCTCGGAACTCCAAGTACTTTCGAGCCTCTCTACGCTAAACTTGGTGACATTCACGATACCTAGAGTACATTCCCGACCCCAATTCAGTCGTTACAGACCAAAACCTCTCTCGCTGATTCACTACTGCAATACACTAAGAGACTGTTCGGTGCCTGACAACCAACTCGGCACTCCTGACGACTCAAAAAAAAAAATCACAACCACAGAATGGCTAGTGACTCGTACTATTCGACATGACGAGGCACTTTCCCTGACTGCGAACGGAGGGTTCATATGCTTCGCTTGTGTTCGAGAACTTCGGGCGAAACCGGTAAGAATCGTTCAGAAGGTCCTCCCTTGCCATGGTATGCGCCAGTGAGAACGCTGCCGTTCTGGTGCTATTTTCTGGTAGCCCTAACCGCTTGCGGGAAAGCTTCTTACCACGCCGGATATTTCGTATAATTTACCTCATTATACAATAGGGGGGAGGTTTAAATAGAAAGAAATCCGATACTCGTAAAAAGAGTGTAAATAATTAATTACTTCCTTTTGGACACTGAATATTTTTAGTTTACCATATTTCATACAAATATTTTATATGCATGAGCCGCACAAATTGCCTGCGAGAGCCATATCAGGCTGACGAGCCGCACTTTGGCCACCCCTGTCATATTACATGATTACTTCAAAGTTAATGTTTTAATACTACATTAAACATACATAACTTTTTAAAATAACTTTCAAACTTAATGTTTTAAATAATATCCAGTAAATAAGAGTTCTTTGTCTCAAAAAGAAAGGAAATGAAGAATTATTGTTGTCTTACAGAACTCATAGCTGACACAAATTTTGCTCTTTCTATCTATTAATGTCTTTTACCTTGATCTTCTCTGAAGAAATGTAATTGCTGTTTACCTCGTTCTTTAAAACTATGATTGCCCTTCAAAAATAAGTAACATAGTTGAGAATTTATAACGTCTTGTTGATTTTGGTAGCATAAAATGTACAAAACTTTTTAAGACTTAAAAGTGAATTATCACTGTCTCTTATAAAGTACCACAGAGACTGAATAAGGGTGTAAAGGACCCTTATATTTAACTCAAATAAAAGTTAATAGAAGGCACCGCTAGTGATTATAGAAGCCAGCATTTATGGTTTACATCAAAAGTATTGAATCTGACTTAACTAATAAAAGTAAGGCTGTACCAATAGGGTAACATGCAAGTTGGCTCTGACCTAAGATGGCATGACAAGCCTAATGGCGAGAATAATGCAATGCCGCATATATTTCTCTCAAGAGAATCAAATTAGCAATGTGGCCTTTAGCAGACAGAATATGTTCTAGTTCTACCCTTTAAAACTTTTATTTAAATATTATCTCCTTTTTACCTTATTTGAATATCGCACGAGCTAGAAATTTACATTCTGGCAAGAAAAGGAGAAATGAGGAGGACTCAAAAGCAGTTTAACATAAAATAACTGGATTAATTAAACACTTTTCAGTCGTATGCTTAGTTCCTCAATTTATCAGGTTTTAATTAAAGTTTTCCACTACCACAGATATCGTCTTCGCAAACAATTCATGTTGGACTGTTTAATCGTACTTTGTCAAGTGATTTTTAACATTTGAAAGAAAGAGACTTGCTTTAGAACACTGTGGCTGTGAAATTTGTAAGTTCAATCTGAAATGGAACTATCATGCTACCAGATTAGAACCATCATTTACTTCCACTTCTGTTGCAAGAAGTCAGCTACAGAATGTCACCAAATCATATGTATGGCTTTAGGTACTAATGTTGTATCATATGACACTGTGAAAATTTGGTATCGAAAGTTCAAAAACAAGGACTATAACATTCAAGAAACAGAATGCTCTGGCCAGCCTGCTGACGTTTATGAGGCCCACTTGCAAGAGCTTGTGAAAGAAGATCAGCATGCAACCACTAGAGAGCTTGCTAAGGAGTTAGGCATTAGTGCCATTTCCATTAGTTGTGCTATGCATAAAGTTGATGTACAAGTTCAATTACTGGGTGCCGCATGGGTTGACTCAAGCAGATGAGGACAGACATGTTTGAGCATGCACTAATCTGCTCGAATATCAATACATGGACAAAATTCTGGACCGGATCATCACTTGTAACGAAATGGTTTACTTCAACAACACAGGCTGAGAAGGGGTTGGTGTGAACCCATCACAGAGTTAGGAAAGATCATGCTTTGTATCTGGTGAAATTGCCATGGTATTTTCCACAAAGATTATCTGGGAAAAAGTAAAACTCTTGACAGCGAGATGCTAGTCCATGTTGACACTGCTATCAAGGAAAAATATTAAACTGAATTCCAATGCAAAAAGGTACTGTTCCATCAAGATAATGCAAGACCACACGTGTCTGCATTCATCTGCTGAATTCTGTACAGATTCAAATGTGCTGGTACTATTTTCCATTTTATGTTCAAAATGAGGTTGATCTGTTTTTGGACTTGCGGTCACCAAGTTTCTGCACCAAAGGCTTTAAGAAAACTATCAAAACTTTGACAGAAAATCATAGATTTTGAGTGGTGATTATTACCTGTACTAAAGGTACTGCTTTCATGGATTTTTTTTTCCCTAACTTTATCAAGAACGTTGTTTGGTGAGAATCTTTCGTTACAACCAGATACTCTGAAATAATACATAACTAATACTATGAGTAATGTACTATTGTTATAAACTTTTTTTGCAAAACGAACATATTTTTTCAGAAGTTAATAAAATACCTACTTTTAATGGTTTTCAGATTCATATTTTATATATATATGTATGTGTATATATATATATGTATATATACAGCAATATTTCACATAATCTGGCCTCCATTAGTCCTTAGTCCGGATTTGCTGTAGTCTGGTTTGAAAATTTCAAAACAAACTAAATTGTAATTGAACAAAATAAAATAAAACTCTAAAAAATTACAACACAAAATCATTTTTAATGCTTAAATATTTGTTTACCCCCCTGCCTTTGTACAATCAAGTCTCTTTTTGCTCAGTTAATTTTTATACAGTTTTATTAACAGTTATTAACTTAGATGAACTTTAGGCTTATAAAGAATGGCAAGACAACTTAGACAATGATGACTAAGTTGAAATGGTTGCATGAAAATTAACAGCTGAACAACTACCAAAAATTACTTGGTTGAAACCACTTCTGATCATATTATGGAAGTTAATCGCAGCATTGACTGTAGTCTTTTAATTTGCTAAATGTACGAAGAGAATAGGCCAAAAAGAAACATGTGCAGGTATTGATATTGCAGTTTTTAGGGAATAAAGAATGAATTGCAAAATTGCTATATATGTCTTTCATTTGCTTTATGTTAGCAAGGAGGTGTATTAAATTTTTATGTGTGTAGTTATTTCATTGTATTTTATGCAAAATACAAAAATTTATTCAGCTATATATATATATATATTTAATAACTTGTTTCTCACGCTTGCTTGTAAATTCAAGTTTGTCTTTCATTGCGCCACGGGCATGATCGCCGTATAATTAAAGATAACCCGATTTTCTAGGCTTCTCGTCCTTAGCGTTGGCATCTTAAACCCAGTACCACATCTTTCTGCCCGATTTTCTACCAAATTATTTTACCGTGCCCTGCCGGGGGTCTCCATATAACGGTACAGCTTCTGATGCAGGTGAGCACCCAGTAGCCACATACACTCTGAGTGCACACCAGGTCGGCGTTTGAGTTTCTCACCATTTGTCTACGAAACTTTGTGTTATTTGACTCACACCACAGCAGCTTACTGGCAGAGCCCCCCGCCCTCCTTTGGCGTCTTTTGGCAGACCATCTTATAAACGCAACAAGGTGACTTGCCACCATAGCCTAACCCAACCAACATGGCTGTCGAGTTGATTTACCCGCCGGGCGACTGCGAAAGAAAATTTGGGTTCATTCAAAGCTAAATCCCCTGGTATCCTCCTATTAGTTATAGCATTTTGTAATCAGATGCGCATTTCCCTTTGCGTCCAGCGACATGTAGGCACGCCGCCTATTACAAATTCTGTGATGGTAGACCCACCGGAACAATGCGTTTTGTACTCGATCGTGTGTGACACTGGATGCCGCCGCACTTCAGTGGCCCAGGATCGCACGCTTTTATTTTGAAGCTGGACAGACTCATTTTCACTTAGTTTCTGAAGAAAGTATGTCGGGTCTTATGGATGCCAGGTTTAGAGGAGAATAATAATAATTGGTGATAGGTAGAATTATTGGTAAAGGAAATACACCAAGTGCTTTGTTTGTGAAATTGTGGCGTCAGAAGCCAGCCTAAAATCAGTGCCACTCAATTGAGTCCTCAATGTTTGAAAATCATGACATGGCAAGCTTGTGGACGTGGATAAGTGGGGGGTTTTCCATCGACTTCTTGGTCTAACTTTTAATTTCTTTTTTTTTTTTTTTTTTTTTTTTTTTTTTATTTTTTTTTTTTAATTTTTTTTTTTTTTTTTTTTTTTTTTTTTTTTTTTTTTTTTTTTTTTTTTTTCTTTCTTTCTTTCACAAAATGGAAATTAGACTTTGTGGGAAAGATATAGATTCCAAAAGGGAATATTAATGAAGCTCTGATTGGTCTTTCAGAATATAATGTATATTTTGATGATGCTTAAAGCAAAGCTTGTAGCTTATTAAGTGAAGTATCGTATTCTGAGATTATTTCACTGTTATTTGGAATGAGGCTTTTTCCTGAGTTCCTTTTTCCATGTGAGCAGATCATTCCAGTCACCCACACTTGACATCTGAGAGAACATTCATGTGATGGTCTATTCGCCATTATTGTCGTAATGCTAATGCATGAAAGTTATTAACTCCGTCCATACCTATGGACAGATGTAAAGCTATAGCCAGTCAAAGAAGATAAAGTTGTGCATGAGTGATTGGGCAGGCTAGCCAACAAAATCGTCAAGTTTAGTTCATATTTGCTTCACTGTGATTGATCAGTTCTTATACCAAGTTGGCATAAATTTGAAAAGACAAAATCTTTCTACCAGTTTCCATAAAGTAGCAAGGTCTGGTTGCCCAACAACAAAGTCATGCCACTTGTGATTTGTAAAACCCTTGTGTAGATGCTGTATTATTTGGATAAGTAATTTTCCTCAAGAAATCATCTTATACAAGTTCAACTTTTAAAAGGTGCAGAAAAGTTCTTCCCTCCTTATTAGGACAGCAGACATAAAAGCACTATGGTTGAGACTTGGAAATTGGCTGAAACAATTTATGTTGAACCTGTGTTCAGAATTATTAGCATTTGGTAAAAGAAGCAAGTATGAATATTCTGCTGAAGCTGTACTAGCTTCAGAAACATTTCTTCAGTCCTTTTATAAATCAAACGCTTTCTTCATTGAAACAACAATTTGAGAGCTAATCAGTGCAAGTTGTTATAGTCTTAAAATACTGAATAAGAGATTATTTGGGAAAAGTGCAGCTAGCACTGTGCTTTAAGCAGCCATTAGTCTGATATTAATGCTGAGGAGATAGTGTAGAATTGTGGAGTTTTAAATAACCTATTTTTAAAACATTAAAAATAGATGATGCTTTCTATACTCTATGTGTATTCTTCACTAGATATTTTTGCCAATTATGGGTTGCCTTACAAATTCTTTTTCTGGTTTGGTAACAATAGCTGCAATATAGATGAATTTTCCTGGGCAAGAAATGATAGAAACTTATTTGGGATCTTGTTTAAAGAATGCTAAATTCGCTAGCATTTCTGTAGGTAGCAAAGGATGAAATCATTAATAACTTCCCCTTGTGAAAGTACATTGAGTTTGGGTAACATAGTACATGATTGGTTAACAATTGTTACAATATTAATAAACAATAAATTAGTAATTAAATAAATAAAAAAATTTAATGAGAATTTTATATTAAGGTAAATATATATATTTTATTTTACGCAGTAACATCACAGCAGAATACAGAACCAAAAGATGCTTCTTGCATAACAAAAAAAGTGCTAGAACATTAATCACTTTGAAATACTGCTGTTGCCACCTACTTGTAAATAATTACTAATTATAAGTAAAAATTACTAGTTTGGTTTGAAATAATAATATATTTAATTCATACATGATACTAACAGTTCAACTGTTCTTGGTTTCAAAATTGCTTTAGTGGGGCTGAATATTAGTCTAATTAATAATCAACATCTGTCTGTTCTAAACCATCTTTTTCTTCATTATTTCATAATATATCATATACAAGAGTATTGCTAGTTATTTTATGCTAAATTACTTGAGATATTATTTTATAACTTATACTAATGTTTTTAATTTTTTTTTTAAATGCTGCATAATTTAATTTTAAATCTGGCCACTTTCAGACCACCATCAGCTCGTCCTCCATCTGCTAGACCATCAAGTTCTAGGCCCGCTCCTCCTAGAATTCGCATTCGACATGTTGTAGAAAATGAAGAGCCCAGGTAGTAGCATTATAATAATTTTTTATACCTCATGTACTTTTATAAATTGGATTCATAAATTTAAATTTGTTGCCTTCAGGGCTTTTTTTTTTCCCCCATAGCAAAGAAAAAGGAACTGTGAACCTAAAAAAAGGGAAAATTCTGTAAATTTTGTCATGCAACTGCGATTGATATCTTGAAAACTTGCCTATGTTTGAAGCATGGTAAAAGATTGAAAATCTGCACAGTCTACCAAATTTCAACAATGAAATGCAGCTTTGACAATTTGAAACAACATTTTTAATTATTGGCAACAAGTTTCCCATTCAGTATTGAAACTAGCTACCATATTCTATTGGTTATCACTTTTGTAATTGTCATTAAATAAGTATTTTATCTAACGTCACAAACTTGTACTAATAATTGAAGATTAACCCTGTGTTGTTCTAAGCAAATAAGCAGTAATTGTAATTTTGGTAATAAGTAAGTGCCCATGCTGAAACATTTTGTTCAAATAATCACAATGATATTTTTGAAGTGTGATGCTTTTAGACTATATTGTTATGGTTGCCAGTTCTATTCTAGCAGACTTTAGGGCCCAGCATGAATGCTTGGTAATGACTGGGACTCCATTTTTGGAAAATTACCACCGTAGTTTTTTACTTTTAATATGCTTATAACTAAGAAAAAATTTTAATCATATCAGATTGGCAAGTTTTTAAGAAACTCATCATTCCTTTGAGTAATATTGAAAAATTAAATTAGAGCAACAGACTGATCAGAAAGTAATATTTCTGTATAATTTGAGGGAAAGGGTCTCGAGCTAAAACATCCTGAAATCTTAAAACAAAGCATTCTAAATACATGTAGAAAAATATAAAATGTAATATTTTATATGCTTTTTCTTTTCAAGACTATAAAATAGTTATTATATTTCTCTATAAAAAAGTGAGGAAAAAATATATGAGCTTTTTTTAAAAAAAGTGAGCAAAAAATATATATCCTTTTTTTAAATGGATTTTCTTTCATTCTTCTGTTTCTAGTCTTAAATCTAAAGATTTTTCACACCTGAAAAACCTCAAAATTCTAATTTGTGCTCTACTTCTCGTCTTGAGTTGTATGGGCTTCTGGTTTTGTAATTGTATCTGTGCATCAGAAACAATTAGTACTGTTGTTGGTCTGTTAATTGTTGCCTTATTAGTTATATTGTTGGTGTGTGTGTCTTTTGAATTTGTTAATAATTTTGTTAATCCTTAAAAATTAAATTGAAGGATTTAATTGTAGGACTGTGCATGGGATTCCTTTGATTTATTTTTGTTCAGCTTACAGACTGACATTATATATATCTATTTATCATGTAATAGTAATAGATTTTAAATCTGTGATCATCTGTTAATTGACTAATTAAATATCAAGCAATATTCTGAATATTATGTGAATGAAAAAATCTTCTAAGTTTCGTGCTTTTTTAAAACAGTTGTATTTTAAATGTATGTCATGTATTCTTTCCTTGGTACTTATGCATGAACACAACTACCGGAGTGAAACCTGGCAATTTGTTTACAGAAGTAAGATAAAAATTACTTATCGGATGTAAGTTGGTGATTTTCATGACTCTTTTTTTTAAAAAGTTTCCAAATGATCCATATTTATTGTAACTCAGCAAACATTATCAATGTATCAAAAAGAAAATGTACTTTAAATATTAAAAAAATTTTCTTTAATTATTAAATAAGGATTATTTACATAATCCTTTTCAATTTTTTTTAGACTTTTCATCTTCCTATGTGCACAGTAATCTGATTTGAGGAGGAGGGGGGATTATCTGAAGGTTTTCAGATTTTATAAAACCACAAAGGGGCATTTTTTTCATTTACACACATACACATTTTTAGAGCATTGGGGCTAAAAATATTTAAAAACAGCATGTATTTAGAATTTTTGATAGAGTCTTGACTGTTGGAAATAAAAATATTTTTTACAAACAGTGTTACTATTTCTTGCCTTGAAATCATTCGAGTTTGTTAGTCAAAAATTCGTTAAAGGTTTACCAAATGTGAAACAGACAATAAAACAAATTCCAATTTTGGGCTACATATTCAGGTGTTGGACTAACTACATTATTCAAAATTTGTTGGCTCTAGCAGGTTTCGTATGGTCTTTTAAAGAACTTAAAAGTTCTCAGGTTTGTTAGAAATGCTTAATTTCAGCCAAAATTCGCAAAAGGTTCTTAATTTTACTCAGCTGATATTTCTGTCTGTTTTTATGACTGCCATTTTGAGTGGAAAATAACATTTTAGAGGAATAGTTTTTGGCAGTGCATTGACAAATGTATATTTGATGGGTAAATCTTTGAATTCTGCACTCCTACTAAATGTAAGCAGTGGACACTTGAGTTTAAGATACAAAGCCCTGCCTCGGTTGAAACATAAACATTTCAAAATAATTTCTTTTTTGCAAATGAAGATTTCATAAAATATTGCATCAAAAACAGTGTTTGCTGATTTGGGATATAATTTTTATCATGTAGTGCTAAATTTGGCGACTTATCAACATTTTAATAATTTCAAAATCTTATATTCTGAGATTAGCGAATGTTTGACGATTTTTGCTTACAAACATAACAACACTGATAAATGTTTGGTTGTAAAGAAAGTTTTCCACCAAAAAAATATTATTAATAAAGATGGGGAGAAAAAAATGAATGCAGTATCTTTAGTGCAGGTAGTAAACATCACCCAAATCTATTTTCTGCCAGTGTTTTGGAGTTTTTCAAAACCTTCGGCTCAGAAACATTGTGGCTGTAAGTCCAAAAACAAATCCTCATTTCAGATGTTTTGTGCAGAATGAAAGATAGCACCAGCAAGATGTGGCTGCAGGTGTGAAAAATGGTAGAAGTCCAAAGGAGCAGATATTCAAGTGGAGATAAGTGGAGGTCCCACTAAGTCTGCCCTTATCTGCTTAAATCAGCTCATACAGTACCCAGCAATTGAACTTTTATGTCAAGTTTAAGCTGTGTGATGCATAGCACGACTAATGAGCATGAAACTAACATCTGACTCTTTTGCAGGCTCTATAGTGGTTTCATACTGATCTTCTTCCAAAAGTTCTTGCAGATGGGCCTCATAAATATGCTGGCCAGGGCACTCTGCTTCTTAAACGTCATAGTCCTAGTTCTTGAATTTTCGGCACCAAACCTTCACAGTGTCTTATGATACAACATTAGTAACTTTATTTGCTCTACACACAATTTGGTAACATTCTGTAACTGACTTTTTGCATCAAAACTGGAAGTAAATTATGGTTCTAATCTGGTAGCA